TATTTTACACAGGGTTTGACATGGGGGGGGCGGTAGGGAGTGGCCTGTGGGAGGGGCCTGTCCCCAGAGAGATCTGCCCACCTCCCGGATTGTCCACGGGCAGCACCCCGGGACAGGCCGTACCCCTGCAGAGCAGAGGTGTTCCCAAGGGACTCGCAGACAGCGCCCTTAGTGACTTTGAGATGTCCCCATCAGGTTGAGCACGGAGCTTGGGTAGAAACCTTGTTTAGGGAAGGCAGCCTGGGCCTGCGAGTTGACGGTGGCTCCATCCTGTGCTTTATTCTTCCTGCCTGGCTTGTGAAATCAATGCATCTCCTTATGATAATAAGTAATCAAAATTCAATGAATAAAGTAGTGAACTCTCCCAATAAAATGCAGCGTCTGCATCTGCACAGCATCAAGCCGGCAGGCTGGTATTTGCTCTTGCTCCCCGGGGACTGTTAAGCAGAGGCTGATCAGCCGCCAGACGCCACCGCGCCAGCCACGGGTGTTTCAGCCGTGCCCAGAGCTAGTCCATCCTGACGGCCGCTCGCTGGCTGCTTTCGCTTTGATGGCTTGAGTTTCTGCTGGGTAACCCCATAAAGAAGTCTCTTAAAATGCATCTTTGAAATTCTGGCTCTGTCGCCTCCAATAAAAGCCGTAGAAGGGAAATTTCAATAAGATAACTCAAGAACATTTAATTTTCTGCTCCTTTGGACTTGCTATCTTATTACAGCCATTCAGTTAGCTAATAAATGTCCAATCCTGTCCAATCTTCATAGCAAGGAGAGAGGCTGGGATTTAAATAATTGGATGGAATGTCTAGGGGCAGCTTTTAGCCGCGACTGCTGGCAGAATTGGGGGTACCATGTCTAACCCGATTCTGGAAATCACCTCATCTCAGTCCAGCTGTCTGTCCACTCTCCTTACCCTGGCTGCCCCGTTTCCCTGGAGCCAGGGGGCCCAAGTGGGAAGGATGGGACAGGGTGGAGAAAACCTGGTCCTGACTTCATCCTCAGAAGAGAGGCCGGGCCTGGGACGTGAGCTCAGCCTACGCACAGAGGGCTCCTTGTTTCTGGTAACACGAACCCTGTCTCTGACCAGGCCCTGCGGTGACTGACTCAGGCCAGACTCTGGCTGCTTACCTGGCCTGTGTGAGGAGACTCAGTTTACGCTCAGTCAAGAGACGCGAGGGTGTTCATGTGGACGAAACCTGCTTTGCATGCCAGTGGTCTTTGGGCGGGGGTGGCTGTGAACTTGAGCTTAGCAACTGGGGTTGCTGTGAGCCGCTTGCTGGGGCCTCTGTGCAGGCCATGTGGAGGGCTTGGGCGGTGGGAGGCCTCTGGCCCTTCTGAGCCTTCCACAGGGCCACAGTCGGCCTTGTCTGCATGGCTGTGCTCTTGCATTTAGGGTCCGAGGCCCTCCTGCTGGGACAGGAGCTGGTAAGGTGGGCATGGTAGCTGGAGGGGGAGGGCACAGCCCCCCAAGGCTTCCTTAAAGCTGCCCCTGGTTCCAGGCATGCTCAGTAAATGTCCCATCAGCGTCAGGCATGGGTCAGCCTTGTTGATGCTGGCTGTGGTGCTCTGAGCACTGGAGTGAGGGGAGCTCAGCCCTCAGCCTGATGGTGGAGCCGGGCCCAGGCCTGTCGCTCGGGGATCCTCGGTAATGAGCAGGAGGAGCTGGGGGCTGGAGAGGCTGTGGATGACACGTCCCCGGCCAGTCAGGATGGGTCAAGAGCAGAGAGGACAAGGGTGGAGCAGGAGGCCCACACCGCCGATCAAGGCAGTGTCTGTACGCACCACACGCGGGCGTGTGCATCACTGGGCATGCTCACCTCCCGCACACGGGGCTGAGGAGGACAGCTTCACACTGGGCCTGGGGGTCTGCCCCTCCTCACAGAGAAGTTCCGACGGCATCCAAAGACAGCCAGAACTTTCCATCCTCAGTGTCCTCCTGTGTGAAGTGGGGCTGTAGTCACGTCTGCGTCCTTGCTCCTCCCCGGTGTAGGAGGCTCCATGGGTGGATGACTGGCCCGTTGCCTTTAGTGTCGCAAGACACAGAGCAGCACTCAGTGACTGTGAGTTTCCTAGGGGGGCAGGCCGGAGCCAGGCCAGGAGGGGCACAGTGTGTTTGGTTCTTAAAGTCTGGTCACCGCGGCCCCAGGTGTGTGCACACAAGGCCCAGGCCGTGAGCTGGCCTGCGTGGCTTCTCTGTGTGCAGATGTGGGAGGCTGGAGCCAGCGCTGCCTCTCAGTGGGTGTGGTGATGTTCCCGACGCTTTAGTGTGAGCCACAGACCAGCATGGCTCCAGGGAGAGGTTTCCAGGGTCTGTGGAGAATCTCTCCTGTGGCTTCTTCTGGTTCTAGGTTGCCAGTCCTGTTCTCCGCTGGCTGCCTGGGAAGGGGAGAAGCAGGGCTGTCAGCAGCTACCTGCCCACGTTCTTTCTCACAGGGTGCCCCTTGTCTCCAGCAGAGATGGCCTGACTAAGCCTTTCTCTTGATGCCTCTTTTCCTTCTTCCCTAGCCAGATAAAGAGTGCTGCTTTGGAATACACCTGATTAGTCTAGGCCCACCTAGTAATCTCTCGCTATTCAGGTAGGGTGTGCATGCACGCACACACCCTGCCAGGTGATGGTGTGTGAGACACATACACTTACTTGTCTAAGACCCATCGGGTCTCAATGGGGGCTGTCCCCTCCCTGTATCCCAGATCCCCAGGTAAATTGTGTTGGAAAAATCTGGGGTATTGGAGTGCCCAGTAGGACTAAGAACACCAATGTGAAAGGGATACAGCAAGGCCAAGTCTCCTTCCACAGAAGGGCCTGCTCTAGCATGAATCTAAGTGTGCAAGCCTGTTGCACGGGCAGTTGCCTGGATTTCATCCTTAAGGAGTTATTGTCCCTAGCTCCAACTGGTCAGAGCTGAGGCTCACAGTCTTGCATGATTGGCTGGTTTGAAAAGGACCAATAAGTTTATCTGAACAGTGAACCAGGCCAAGCCATCCGGCCAAATCAGGAGCTTGCAACTGGATGTAATGAACACAACAAGCTGTGGCTTGTTTGTTTGTTTATTTCAAGCAGGATTGTATGAGGTTGGCTGATAGGAAGTAACCGTTGTGACAGAGAAGCTGTTCATTCTTCCAGGTGGATCTGCAAGGAGCTCCTCAGGAGCAGTGGTCCTGAGATGGATGAGTCCTCAGCACCCGAGCCCAGGGTGTCAGTCCCCATGCTCTGCACACCATCTTTGTGGGGGTCCACACCACATGCACATAGAGAGCCAGGGACATGGGTTCCGTGTAGACCAGTGCCCAGGGTGAGCACTGCAGGCAGAGTCTCCGGTGGCTCTGGGTTCGATGTGAAATGGCTCTCGGTTGGTGAGAAGTTGCTTTCATCTCATTGTGAGGACTTCTGAACATCTGGAACTCCATTTTATGGCTGGGACACGGAAGCTGGAGGCCACTCAGCTCTGGCCGCCGTGGTTCACGGCCCAGGCCCCGCGTGAGCCCATCTGGTATCAGCAGTCACCTTGCCGGTTCCCCGGACTTCCCTCCAGGGGACAATCTGCAAACAATGAATGCTGTGTTTTTTTTTTTCTTGGTCAAGTCTCCCAGTAGCCAACCACGTACACAGCCTGATGCATTAAATAAAAATCGATGTATTTCTGCCCTGCAAAGGGTATTTAATGTCCTGCCACAGCGCCTGCTATCTGTTTGAGCCAGGAGAGAGATGGCTTTATTTCCCCCATAACTCTTGGTAGCACAATTCCATTGTTTACTCTGTGACACAACGTGCCATCATTAATCACCTGGGGAGAGAGGGATGGGCGCCTCTGGCTGGCGTGGGGAAAAGCTGGAGCTCAGTGTGAGCACCGAGCAGTCCCGGGCCTCTTGTTTTGTGCGGAATCTGGGGGCTTGAGGTGCCTGTTGCCTTTCTACCGAGGGCTGGGGGTGTCACAGGCACCCTGCCAGTGGGCTCTGCAGTGCTTCGTTGGCCTCCAGGAGACCCATGCAGGTCCCAGGCTTTGCTGTGCTTGTCCCGGGAAAATAGATACCATCAATTTGCAATCGCCTCAAGTGTGGTGGAGACATTACCACTAATTGGCAATAAGAAATGCTAAATGGAGCAGAGTTTCATATTAATGAGGCGTTTATCAATACTAAGCAGACTGCCGGCCTCCTTCGATCACTTGATTGACATGGGCTGAGTTATGTCACCGATGTCTCGCTGGTCCTTCCTTCTCGGCGGTCCTCCGACGGCCTCAGCTTCCCTCCCTTCCCCTTGTTTGTTTTCAAAATCTCTTGCTAAAATGGCTGCCAGGAGCAGAGCCGCCTCTCCCCCAGGGGGCTGTGTTGCCCACGTGAACGTCCAGTGGTAATGAGAGCTCAGCCAGTTCTACGTTATGTGTCAGAGAGATCAAATGCCTGGCATGATAGGCACCAAGCCCCATCCAGGACCAGCCTGTCTCCAGAGCTGCCAAGCTCGGAGCACCAGTGCTGGGTCCTGGGCGGCCGGCCCAGGCCGGGTTTCAGCTGGGGGACAGGCTCCGCCTTGGCTGTGCCCAGGGAGGACCCGGTGGTGTGTCCGCTTCCTGACATGGTCATAGCACTCACCACACACTGGGGCGCTGTCCACAGCCGAAAGTCATGCCTGACAGACCGGTGGCTCTGGACCCTCCATCGAGGTACGTCGGGGCCCTGCTCCTGTCCGGTGGCTCTGGACCCTCCATCGATGTATGTCGGGGCTCTGTTCCTGCCCCGGACTCCCTCAAGACTCCTGATGCTCTGACTTGGACCTCTGCCAGCAGCAGGCTCCTCCTGGGGGCCTGAGACTCCTCCTTGGTCTCCAAGAGAGAAAGAGGGAGGGGAGAGAGACCAACAGGCAGAGAGGGAAGGGGGCAGGGGAGAGAACATCTGAACAATCCAGGAGGATGTCAAGGCCCCTAACATCTGCAAAGACCCTTTTCCAAATAAGTTTACATCGACTGGGACATGGCATAGCTTTGGGGGGCTCACCATCCAACCTACTCCAGGGGAAGGGCTTCTGTGTGCCCCCTGTCCACTGCAGGACTGGGGTCAGGCCTCAAGGGTAGCAGGGTCTCCTGGTCAGCGGTGCGTTCTGGGAGCCGTCTGACCCAATCAAGTGTCTCCCGGCTCTCCGTGTTTTCAGCACACATTTTAATGACTAGCTTTGCAGGGCTGACCCCGTCACAGCTAGCCACGTCTGTGCCGTACTCCTGGGGAGGGGGAAGACAGGACACTGAGATTATGACATAGGAGATCTCATGTGCCTCACAGCACGCGGCTCCTCCACATGAAAGGAGCATCTCGCCTCGTCCCCAGTTTTGACAGAGAAGGGACAGATGCCAGAGACGGCTCAGAAAGTGTTTATCTGTTTGGCAGTGTGCTGGAGCCTGAGAAGCGAGCTTGGGGCTTTTAAGAGAAGCAGCCAGATGGGGATTCTAGAACCAGACGAAGCTGTCCATGCACGGGGCCACTTGTTGCGTGTGCGTTGGACTGTTGTGGTTTTGTCATTTGGATGTACTTCCCGCATCTGTCTGTTGAGAATCTCAGGCTCTGCCCCGTGCTGCCCTGAAGCATGTGGTGTGAGAATCTCAGCTCTGCCCTGTGCTGCCCTGCAGAATGTGGTGTGGGAATCTCGGGCTCTGCCCCATGCAGAGCATAGTGTGAGAATCTCGGGCTCTGCCCGTGCTGCCCTGCAGAGCATAGTGTGAGAATCTCGGGCTCTGCCCCGTGCTGCCCTGCAGAGCGTGGTGTAAGAATCTCGGGCTCTGCCCCGTGCTGCCCTGCAGAGCGTGGTGTAAGAATCTCGGGCTCTGCCCCGTGCTGCCCTGCAGAGCATGGTGTGAGGCCAGGAAAGCACAGGGGATGAGGTGGGCTGGGCAGGGGGCGGCAGACCCCTGGCATGAGCAGCACCTGTTGGCTGCCTTCTCCCGGGGTGGAGGAAGGGCACAGGCGTCAGTGCCATTGCTGAAGAGGGCACTGGGAACTGGGAAGGGGCCATCCTTTGGCAGCTTGGGCCTGAGAGATTACAGGTGGGCAGCCTTCCATGGGCAGGGAGGGGCTTTGTTTCTCTCCCTAGGAATCTCTGTCACTTTGCCCAGAGGAATATGGCACATGGGACACTGAAACCTGTCCTAACCATCTAGCCTTGGTGTTTTGGAGATTTTTTTTTTGTCAGTCATGGGTCTTGAACTCTGGGCCTGGATGCTGCCCCTCAGCTATTCAGCTCAAAGTGAGTGCTCTACCACTTGAGCCATGGTGCCACTTCTGGTTTTCTAGTGGTTTATTGGAGATCAGAGTCTCACAGACTTTCCTGCCCGGGCTGACTTTGAACCAAGATCCTCAGATCTCAGCCTCCTGAGTAGCTAGGATGACAGGTGTGAGCTACTGGCACCCAGCTGTTTTAGAGATTTTTGAACAACTAGATGGTGAGAAGTGGAAGCCAGCTGCCTGGAGAGGCTGACCCAAGGTTTGGGGTCCACCATGCCCTCTGCCCTCAGCATCTCCAACCCCAGGCTGGCAGATCAGAGATGGACAGGGCCTGCCCAGGTCCCTCTCTGGTGGACTGGGGAGAAGCAGAAGGGCTCTACTTCGTGCTGCTATTCTGAGGTGGGTCATCTTCTCGAGGTCTGCACCAGAGCTGAGCAAAAGCTCATGGGGGCCAACAGGGGTGTCCTGCCTGAGCCTGCTTGCTCCCCTGGCTGGTACCACAGTCCTGGGCCACCGGAGGCCAGTGTGGCTTTGCTGTGAGCTGTGCTCTGGCTGACACACAGCAGATACAGCCAGTGTGACACTGGAGAGAGGCTCCCAGGAGAGGCCCCAGGAGAGGCCTCAGGAGAGGCCCCAGGAGAGGCCTCAGGAACTCATGCTTTGGGCCTGCACACAGGGTCTCCCTCTTCTGCTGATCAGGTAGGGAGCGTTGGCCATGGGGTGGGGTGCAGAAGGACTGCAGAACCATTGGATGCACAGCACAACAGGACAGGCTCGTTGCTTCTCACTGGCCATTTTTGGCCCCCTGCTGAAAGCAATTAGCTCTGATAATTTTATATGGCCCATGAATGATGTAAATATCCAAATGACCCTGGGCAGAAAAAAGGTAGGGTGCCTATCCCCAGCAGAGGGGGGAAGACAGCAGGACCTGCCTCTGCCCTGGCCCCAGCCCTGCACCCCTATGTGACGTGGCCTCCGTGGAAGTTTCTCATGAAGGGTTCATTCTGGGGGTCAGGGCCTTAGTCCTCAAGGGTGTCCCCGTGCAGGTCCTCCTTGGAGGCGTGGCTTCTGTGGGATGGAAGAGAGCACATGGGCAGGGGATGGTGCACATGTGATATTCATGTGTGTCTGGGGCTTTGTTGTACATGGTGTGTGTGTGTGTGTGTGTGTGTGCGTGTGTGTGTGTGTGCTTGGTGCATTACACATGTGGTCTATAGGTGTATGTGTGGGGTGCCTATGTGTGCACTGTTTGGGGATTTGCAGGAAGGTTTGCAGGGGTGCTGTGGGATAGCACAGCAGGATAAGCAGGTAGGGTGTGGGGCAGGCCTGAGTGAGCAGCAGTGAGGGGGACCTGCAGAAATAGGAGCAGAAAGAGCAGAGGGAAGGTTTGGGGCTTGGCAACAGAGCAGGAAGGGAGGTTGGCTGGGGCTTGGTGCCTGCCTCCGACAGTCAGTGCGGGAGCCAGAATACACAGGGAAGGTGCTGGATGGGCTAGCCTTGTGCCCCCACACCGTGGACTGAGAGCATGAGGCTCGGTGCTGGATGGGCTAGCCTTGTGGCCCCACACTGTGGACTGAGAACCCGAGGCCTGGACACTCGAAATGGATGGCTGTGCATGTATACAGCATCTTCGTGATGCTTTCCATCTCCCGATGTCCTGCACTGTTTGAGATGCCTTATCTGGGACTCCCAAATTCACCACTTAATCGAGCCTATTTTATGTCTTTGGGCTGTAATTAACGGTATTGCTCCATCATCGCTAGGCTTATTAAAGAAATATTTCCCCAGGCTGGCAGAGGCAGAGCTCAGTTTATGAGGAATCATTCTCACAAAACACCTGGCAAGCTTCCGATGCTGTTTAGCAGAGATTGGGTGGATGGATGGGGTGGGGGGAGGGAGGAAGGAATGCATTTGATGTTCCTTTCTCCAGAAAAACAATCATCATCTCAAAAACACATTCCTGAGCAGGGCTGGAAGACGGGGAGCGGGGAGAGGGGAGAGGGGAGAGGTAAGGGCATGGGAAGGGCAGAGCCCCAACCTTCAAGGGGCCATTTTGCGAACATTCAGAGCCACCGAGGGCCAATAAGGGATTAAGGACCCTGTGAGGAGAACAGGAGAGAAGAGACATTCACCAAAGCGGCTTCAAGGGAGGGAAGGAGCCACCGCCGACCCCCGCTCTCCCCTGTGTCTCAGGATGTTTTTACCGCTGGGGAGCAGGAGCAGTGGCAAGTACTCCTATCTGCATTCTTTCTGCAGCTGGCCCAGGGTGGAGCCAGACCCCAGGTTCTCACTCTGCTCTGCAGAGCCGTGACCCAAAGGGCCCCAGCGGCCCTTGCTCAGGGACCAGCCTGCCTCAGCAGCTGGAACCCCAGCTGGAACCCCAGGCGCCCACTCAGCCGGGCGTGGCCCTCGGCCTTGCTCCCACCTGTCCCAGCCCCACCCTCCTCCTCCAGGTCTCTGTCTCGGGGACCAGAAGGCTTCTTGGGGTGAGTGGGACCGAGCAGAGCTTTTCGTGGGACCTGGCTCCCGTGCACCCTGCCGCATGGAAATTTACCTCCATTCTCCAGGAAGGTGGCAGAAGGGCCCGGGAGGGGTCGGCCCCCGAGTCCCTGGAGCAGGGAGGGCTTTACAGAGGTGAGGGCAGGAAGGACCCCAGAGAGGGGGCGGGCAGCACCTCTGATGGCCTTTGATGGCCCAGTGGGCCCACCGGTCCTCCTCCAGAGGAGGCAGGGCCGTCCACGTGATGGACGTGCTGACCGACGGGCACGGAGAGCTGCCAGTTCTTTCTCGTTTAAAGTCCATTGGTTATTATCTTTAAGTAGTTGTCCACAGGGGTTGCCACTCAGCAGAGCGTCTCGAGCACCACCTCCATTGATCTCACCCGCTCCTCCCCAACCACGCTTCGTCCCTCAGTAAACAAAAATTGAGGATTTGCATTGAGTTTTATGACTATCCTGCCCTCTTTCTCTCTTTGTTTGCTTCTCCTTCTCCCTGAGACCCACTTCCTGGTGCTTATTCTGCTGGACGATGAGCCTTTGTAAGGAATTACACCATGTGCGTTCCCCCTGCCCAATCTGCCATATTCCCTTTCATACATTTGCATACCACCCAGAAGTGTATAGATTTGTAAATTCATCCTAACTCCCACACAGGAGAGAAAACACGCATCCTTTGTCTACCCAGGCCAGACTTACTTCACTTAACGTGATCTTTTTCCAGATCTTTCCATTCAACATCATTCTAATGGATGAGAATGAGGCAGGACCCTGATCTCCACTCCACCTCCACGCTGGTGCAGGCCCACTGCACTGAGGCTGTGTGCAGACCGTGGGCCACGGCTGTCCCCAGTGACAGTGCTGTTAGCAAGGTGTGCTCAGCCTTCCCCAGCATGACCCCGCCGGAGGCCATCCCCGGAGGTCCAGCCTCCACTGTGCAGGAAGTAGGCCTCTGCCTTTATCCGTGGTACCCTGTTACAAAATGGTATAGGCAGAGACTACCCAGGAAGTGTGACCCAGAGATGATAACTCTCAGAGTGGCTCAATCCCAGCCTCCCAGGCCTGCTCTGAGTCAGGCCGCTTGGACTGAGGGGAGCAACCCTCCATGAGGTAGTGGGATGTGCTGATGATGGCGTTGGACGTGTAATGTCCTCGTCCTGATCCTGCAGACTTGAAGGCTTGAAGCGGTCATTTTCTGCTCCTTCCAGTTTAGTAACAGGCCCAGTGGGATGTGGTCTCTTGAGGCTTCAGTCTCTCTCTCTCTCTCTCTCTCTCTCTCTCTGTCTCTGTCTCTGTCTGTCTGTCTCTGTCTCTCTGTCTGTCTGTCTCTCTTTGTGCCTGGACACATGGCCGGTTGGCTGGCTGTGGGTAGGTGCTCCAGAGGTGTCAGCACCCCTGAGCTTCCAACTCTGTGACAGGATATGAGCTCCTCACTCCTCCTTGCCGCTGAGACGGAGGAGGTCTGTGGCCAGGGACACCCACCATGCCCTCACCTGCTGGGAGGCGGAGGAAACAAGTAGAGAAGGGGGAGAGAAGGGAGGGGGAGAGGAGAGGGGGGAGAGACAGAGACTGAGAAGGGAGGGGGAGGGGGAGAGAGAGACAGAGACAGAAGCAGAGAGAGACAGAGAGACAGAGTGAGAGCAAGAGAGAGCTGGGAAGGAGGGAACTAGAGCTGAAGAATTTGAAGATGGAAGCAGGTTTAAGATGAGATGGACAATGGCATTCTACACACAATGGCATTCTATGCCTCCATCAGAAAGAACGGCACAGCCCCACTTGTTAGGAAATGGAAAAACTTGGAAAAAATTATATTAAGTGAAGTAAGTCAGGCCCAAAGAAACACAGGCCCCATGGTTTCCCTTATTTGCAATAATTAGTATATGTCTGAGACAAGCAGAAAAGGTCAAAAGCTCTGTACATATGACCAGATAAGATGATGCTAAGTGAAATGAACCCCAGGATAGGGACACAAGTATTTTTTTCTTTCTTGCTATTATTTCTAACATATTTATAATGCACACATTTATAATACACCATGTGATTTTTTTTTGTTTCTTTGTATGTTCCTCCCCCACGGTATAACCCGTTTTCACTCTATTTGATGTTGGTGCCCTGCATCTTGTAAGTACACTTCTCTAGCTTGGGGAGGGGAAGGGAAAAAACAAAATGCTTAAATAGGGATACAGGTTGACCCATTGTAACAATGAGATGTACAAGACACTATGTTGAAAACGAACTGTACAGTTTGGGGGGGGTTAGTTGTGGAGGTGGGAGGGAAGGGATGGTAGGGGAAAAACAAAGGAGGAGTACTAATGCTTGATAGGAAATGTACTCATTACCTTGCTCATGTAATTGTAACCCCTCTGTACAACATTTCTACAATAAAAAACATTTTTAAAAAAAAGGGGAGATGGATTTCAGGCCTTGTAGAAACACAAATGATCAAGGCCTGGCGCTGCACTTTTAATGATGTGCTGCTGCTGAGCAGCGGTGGACACAGGTACGGCTCCTCCCCTGCACCCCCTCCCATGCTGCCCTCCTCCCCACGCTGCCCTCTCCCCCATGCTGCCCTCCTCCCACGCTGTCCTCCTCCCCGCGCTGTCCTCCTCCCCCATGCTGCCCTCCTCCCCGCGCTGTCCTCCTCCCCCATGCTGCCCTCCTCCCACGCTGCCCTCCTCCCACGCTGCCCTCCTCCCACGCTGTCCTCCTCCCCGCGCTGCCCTCCCCCCGCGCTGCCCTCCCCCCCACGCTGCCCTCCTCCCACGCTGTCCTCCTCCCCGCGCTGTCCTCCTCCCCCGCTGCCCTCCTCCCCGCGCTGCCCTCCTCCCCACGCTGCCCTCCTCCCACGCTGTCCTCCTCCCCGCGCTGTCCTCCTCCCCCATGCTGCCCTCCTCCCACGCTGCCCTCCCCCCCGCGCTGTCCTCCCCCCCGCGCTGCCCTCCTCCCACGCTGTCCTCCTCCCCACGCTGCCCTCCTCCCCGTGCTGCCCTCCCCCCCGCGCTGTCCTCCCCCCCGCGCTGCCCTCCTCCCACGCTGTCCTCCTCCCCGCGCTGCCCTCCCCCCACGCTGCCCTCCTCCCCGCGCTGCCCTCCCCCCACGCTGCCCTCCTCCCCGCGCTGCCCTCCTCCCCACGCTGCCCTCCCCCCCACGCTGCCCTCCTCCCCACGCTGCCCTCCCCCCCCACGCTGCCCTCCTCCCCGCACTGCCCTCCCCTCCACGCTGTCCCCCCCCACGCTGCCCTCCTCCCCGCGCTGCCCTCTCCCCCATGCTGCCCTCCTCCCCGCGCTGCCCTCTCCCCCACACTGCCCTCCTCCCGTGCACTGCCTGCCCCACGCTGCCCTCCTCCCCGCGCTGCCCTCTCCCCCATGCTGCCCTCCTCCCCGCGCTGCCCTCCCCTCCACGCTGCCCCCCCATGCTGCCCTCCTCCCCGTGCTGCCCTCCTCCCCGCGCTGCCCTCCCCCTCACGCTGCCCTCCCCCCCACGCTGCCCTCCCCCCCACGCTGCCCTCCCCCCCACGCTGCCCTCCTCCCCGCGCTGCCCTCCCCTCCACGCTGCCCTCCCCCCCACGCTGCCCTCCTCCCCGCGCTGCCCTCTCCCCCACGCTGCCCTCCTCCCCGCGCTGCCCTCTCCCCCACACTGCCCTCCTCCCCGTGCTCTGCCCCCCCACTGCCCTCCCCCCCCACGCTGCCCTCCTCCCCGCGCTGCCCTCCCCTCCACGCTGCCCTCCCCTCCATGCTGCCCTCCCCCCCACGCTGCCCTCCTCCCCGTGCTGCGCCTTCGGTGGTATCCTGCGGGGCCCGTCACAGACGTGGAGGGCAAGCATGCTGCTGGAGGACCTCAGGTAACAAACGGCTCTTTGCTGGGCCTGACGTCTGTGCTGGCGGTGGCGGGTGAAGGGATGTGGTCCTTCCGTGGGTGCACAGGTAACTTGGTCCCGCCTCGCCCCTGCAGGTCCTGTGAGAAGCCAGGACCTGTCCCACTGTCCTGGGCCCCAGGCAGACTCCATGGGCCATGTACTCCCCTGTTTTCTGAACTTACTGTAGCTGCCGAGACTTGGAGGGAGAAGGCCTAGATTGGCGAGGCTGGAGCACCAGGGCCAGAAGGGGAGAAGCCTCGGGATTATGGAAAGGAGGGTCTTTTCCTCTGTGACCCAGGGCCCTGGCTTCTGTGGGGCCAGTGCCCCAATGCCACCTCTTGCAGAACTAGAGGGATCCTGTGAGACCACCCGCCACCGCGGCCCTCCCACAGGCCCCACTGCAGGTTTGGTGGTGCGGTATTGCACCCGGGCCGCTGCCAGAAGCCCCTGTGGCAGACGGGCCTGAGGGCCTCTGGGAGGGGCAGAGAAGGAGAGCCGAGCCCTCGGCCCTGCCGGCCTCCCTGGACTCATTCACTCACCTGCCTGCTGCCCTGACCTTTGGAACCAGCAGGGCCTGTTCCACACAAGCCGTGTCCGTGTCGGCTCCGCTGTGCATTCAAGATGGAAAGTCTGCACTCCTGGTGACCTCCCTGTCCTTCGGGGAGGTCAGAACGCAGGGTCCAGGTTCTGGGGTTCCCAGACCGTGGTCTCCTTCCTGGCTCCAGTGTGGTGTTTCAACCCTCTCCCCCCTCTCCTCAGTAGATGGGAAGGCTCCGGTGCGGCCTGGTCGAGGAGACCGAGGCGGGCCCTGGGGCTTGCTCGGAAGGTAGTGAGGCACCCACGTGACATGACCTTGATGTGCTGCTGCCCGGGGGCAGGCAATGGCTAAGCGTGTCTACCCGCTGGTGGGTTTGTCGTCTGACATCGTGTGTGTGGAATAACTAGGGGAGGTTGGCCTTCCTTATTTAAGCGGCTGGCCAGGGCAGCCCAGCTCAAGGTCTGTCCCCTGCAGTACCTGGCCTCACAAAGGAGCAGAGGCACCAACCAGAGCCAACTACAGCCCCCAGGGGGCTGGGAGCTGCGACCTGCTCTCGCCTCCCCCCCACCAGAATGTTCCATGCATGAGCACCAGCCTCCCGCAGCCAGGGCAGCGTGGATGGGGTGGGGGTGGGGGAGGGGGAGAGGAGAGCCCCGGTCTCCCTCCCAACGCAGGGGCCTCCCTGGCATTAGAATCCGCGTCCTTCCCCAGTCCCCAGATGCAGGTCCTGGCCCTGCACACACTTCGTCCCCCCACACACCATCACTACAACCTCTCCCCTTCCTCTGGTCCCCAACTCCAAGAAGGTGGTCTACCAGCTGACGGGTACAGCCCTTAATTTCTTTACCTTCCGCTGGTCATGGGGATGGACAAGGATGGACACGCGTGATTCCCTGCCTGAACGTTACAAACGGAGGCGTTCAGAGCACCCTGGGCACCTCCTCCAGCCCGGGCGCCTCCTCCAGCCCGCGCGCCTCCCCCAGCCCGGGCGCCTCCCCCAGCCCGGGCGCCTCCCCCAGCCCGCGCGCCTCCCCCAGCCCGGGCGCCTCCCCCAGCCCGGGCGCCTCCCCCAGCCCGCGCGCCTCCTCCAGCCCGGGAGCCTCCTCTAGCCCGCGCGCCTCCCCCAGCCCGCGCGCCTCCCCCAGCCCGGGCGCCTCCTCCAGCCCAGCCTCCCTGGACCGACGTTCTGAGCGGTGCCGCTGCGTTCTGACTTCTCTCTGCAGCCTGGGCTGGCCTGCAGGTTGTCTTGCTCTTGTGGGGTGTGGTCGGGAGCCCCCGGTGTGAGACGCCCAGGCATCCCCATCCCCTGGCGTTCCCCTCGCTCTGCTGCTACCTGCCAGCTTGTTCACTCGGCAGAACTCACCAGCCCGCGGTGCCTTGACTTGGGAGTGCGCGGGATGCGGGCGCTGTGGTGCCGGCCGGCCCATCGATCCAGGTGTGATGGAAGCCTGGCTTTCTTTGCCAACACAGGACCTCGGGCGCAAGCTGGGTCCCCTTGCCCAGTGGGAGTGACAGGGCTGACAGTGAGGGCCACCTTACACCACAGCATTGTGTGCTGCCTCTACTGCCGGCCCCCGTTCTGGGTGCTGGGGTGGTGGAGCATCACTGGTGTGGACATCCACTGGCCCCCCCCCCCACACACCCCTGCCCGCTGGTTCTGCCTCTTTCCAGGCCAACACAAGAGAGTCATTCGGAATGGATAAACCAAATCCATTTTCATAATAAGTAAACGGGCTTGCTTTTGTTCCCAGAAAGACTCCCACTGGGAGAGGGACCTGGGCTGCATTTTACTTCTGAGCTTGGGCCTCCAGCTGCTGCTGAGCTAGTTGAGTACAGAGCGTGAATAAAGATGGGCACAGCTAATTCTTAACACCCACCCAGATGCCAGGGCTGGAAACACTACCCACACCTCCTGGGAGGGTAGTGAGGAGGGAGAGGAGCTCTGGCCATGCCCCCTGTGGTCAGGGTCTTCCTTCCCCGGGGACTCCGGGGTGTCATCCCCGCCCCACGCCTGAAGGGTCAGCTCAGAGCCACGTGACTTCTATGGACACGGCACACAGGCTCCAGGACACGGGGGTGGAGTTTGTCAAGACTGCGGACCTCAGCTCTTCACACGAGCCCTGCAGAGCTAAACACAGAAGCCCACTCCGTCACCACCCCCAGAGTCCTAAAGCCATCACCCAACACCAGCCAGTTCTGTTGGGCACGCTACTGTTCATTCCTGTTTCCCCAGGGCTCGGAGAAGGGCGTGTAAATGTTCAATAAACATCTGCCGGATGAATGGATACATGAGTGATGAATGAATGATGCTAAGCTTCTCTGAATCATTCATCTCTCGGGCTTCAGCGCTTCCCTCGGGCCCCGGGCCGCTCTGTGAGGATACGAGCAGGCTGGACCTGCGTCTGACGTGGTCTGACTGCCTGCTTGCCGTATGCCACACGTGCTAAATAAAGAGCATCAATTGTGTGCCACAGTCAAGAGGCTTCCTGGGTGAGGCTTCAGTTCTTTATGATGAGAGAAAGTCTGCCTACGCCAATTTCCCTTTGATAATTCCTCAAAGTACCTATAAACATCTTTGCAGTGTGATCTCGCAGAGTTCCCGGCTCTGTAACTGGGGGCCATTTCTTTAGTCGAGGACCACATCAAGCCTCTGGCTCCCACTGAGGGCTGTTTTGTACAGAAGACTGTCTTCCATCATTGCGCTGCCGCTCGGCTGGCCGGTCCCTCACACTGTGAGGGTGCATGGAATAGAAAAGAGATCTGTGTCTCCTGCCATCTGTCTGCTCACTCTTTGAGTAGAAAGGCAGGTAAAATCAGCTCTACGACTTAGATTCCATTCTTTCCTTTTCATTTAGAACCAAGAAAATAGAGTTGAAGTGATATGAATGAATGAAATTCTTACCAGCCTGGGTCTCCATGAGGCTCAACTCAGATCTACTAGTTAGGGCAAGGAGTGTTCCTGTTGGATGTGAGGAGCAAAATACCTTTGTTTCAACCATTCAACTTATCATCCATCCTACAGCCTGCTAACCAACCCACCTACCCAACTCACCTACCCACCCACCAACCAGTTACACAGTGGCCCCATAATTCATCAACTTACCTCCCTATTTATCAACTCACTAGATATACCCCCACAACAGATTAACTCACCCATCAACCAAGCTACCCAACCACTAGTAAACTCACCCATCCGCCTACCAACCAACTAAACAACTTCCACAATGAATCAATTCATTTATTTACCCACCAACTAACCAAACCACAACCCCCCCCTAAAAAAAAACCAGATAGACTCACCCTCCCACCCACTGGCCAGCCATTCCCCTGACAAACCTCCAGTCAGGTCAACACCTTGCCATGGTCCCCCCACATTGTCTATGAAGAGGGTTTTGCTTAAGACAATGGGAGCACGGCCCATGCCCTGAAGGAAGGACTTCCCCTTTCCTCCCCTCCATCCACCCTTGGTTTCTGGGATGGCAGAGTGGACACATCTTCATTCACTCTCTGTCCATTTATTCCCGGTCTCCAGATCTGTTCTTTCCATTCCTCCCAATGGTGACATCTCTCGCGGCGACTTGATTCATGTCTTTGGGCTCCGATGCTTCAGTGGAAGGGACGCTGCTGTCCAGCCTGCTAAGAGAGGGGTAGGCCGAGAAGGGACAGCCCCATCCAGGAAGGGACAGGCAGAGCGTGGCTGGCTCCGGTCCTCATGTGGTCATCCTACTTGCAGCACCCCCGGCAGGGAGGGGCAGCTGCGATGGGGGATTTTGCAGAGGTCTGTGTGCCTTTTATAGAGAAAAGGAGTCTGCTGGGCTCCTGGTTCTGTGGCTGGGAAGTCTAAGACTATGGTGCTGGCCTGTCTGTCCTCTGGTGAGGGCCTCTGTCTGGCCTCCGTCTGGCCTGTGTGGCCTCTGGTGCTGGCCTTTGCTTGGCTTCTGTCTGGCCTCTGTCTGGTCTCTGGTGAGGACTTCAGGCTCCATAAGAGCATGGTAGAAGGTGCCTTGTGGTGAGACAGAAGCTGCTAACACATCTCCCTCTTCTTCTCTTACACAGCCACTAACAGCACCACAGGAATCCAGATGGATGACCTCATTTCACTCTAATTACTGACCGGAGCCCCGCCACCAAATATCACCAACATATGACTTCGAGAATTAACTTCCCGGCACATAAGCTTCTGGGGGACACGCTCAGACCGTGGCAGCTGTTCTTAGCATGGCCGTCCACCCCTTCCTCTCACAGGTGGGGGTTCTGTCTGCCACCTGCCGCAGAGCACACGTGGGCGAATGATGAATAAATGAAAAATGGAAATGCTCTTGCTCTCCAGATCTTTCCCCTTTGAAGTGTTACAAATCTCCCTCCTGGGCTGCTCGGGGTCCAAAGCAGACAGACAGACTCATGCTCTAGGAAGGACGGGCTTCTCCCTCCCATGCCTTCACCCGCCCTACCTTGGGCTGGAGATACAGCTCCCAGACCTCTGCCCAGGCCTCTTCCTCCTGCAGGAGTGCAATGTGACTGTTTGGCTCTAGTCCAGTGCTTCTAGAATTGCTGCTCTGGGACCTTCACTGCCCTCGGTGAAGATGTCCTCTGGGGGTGTCCCAGGGTCCTGTGCAGGCAGGATGTCTGCTCAGGCTGCTCATGACACCGAAGGCTTCTTGGGGAGTGGGGCACACGTGACCAGGTGTTTTCCAGGCTCGGGCAACACGGGAAAAACCCCTGTGGAGCCTCAGGACCCCACGAGCCAGGTGTGGACTGGGTGGTCAGGCATTCATGTGTGGCCACTAATGATTCCTGTCCGTGTTCTGCATGGACTCCCTCCTTCCCATGCCCCCCCCCCCCACCTCTCCCGCCCTCACCTTCTGTCTGAAGTCTCTCTTGAAAATCCCAAGCAGAGATCGTGTCCACGCCTTTATTCCTTACCTTCCACAAACATCCCTCTGCTGTCTGGGTGGTGGGTGCTCGCTAGCAGCGGAGTTGGCCTGTCAGGGAGGCCGCTCCTCCACTCACCCAGGGCTGGCCATCCCTCACACTCAGACCGACCCCTGGGTTCCCGGATCGTGCAGTGAGCACAGTGAACACATTCCCTGGACGAGCTCCATCCACCCTCTGGGACCTGGGACCTGGACCCTCTGGGATCCTTGAGATCCCACCCATTCCTCCCCTGGGGCTTTGCTGGCCACTGGGGCCACCTCAGGCTTCACGGTGGTGGCAGGGGACGTGTCTCCTCCCTGGCCTGCTGGCAATGTGCTCATGGTGGTGGCAGGGGACATGTCTCCTCCCTGGCGTGTCTGGTGGCCTTGGCCACAGGGAAGGCAATGTCTGAGATGAAGCTTCCCTTGCATCAAAGGCAGATCTGTAAGGAGAAGGCCACGTTCCTGTCCACAGGGAGGCTTCCCAGGAGCCCCACGTGGCAGAACTGGACCAGCTGCCCCGCCCTGCATGTCTGCCCACTCTCTTCAGTGATGGGCCGTGTGCCTTCTGTGGTCACTGAGATGTCACTCCAGCATCGAACCCTTACAAGTCTGTGAGGTACTCATGACAGCTGTACATGTCACGCTAACCAGCTCATTTGATTTCCTTGTAAATCAGTGCTTCTCCACGCATGATTACAGACACAGCTTGTTTCTTGGATCCCATCCCTGGAGCCACCTGGATTGTGCCCTGGATGCCCCAGGGAAGGTGACCTGGATGTGGGGCACAGTGGGAGAGAGAAGGCTCCAGGGCCACCAAACCCACAGCTGAGTCATGCCTTGTCCCGCCTCTGCCCCACACCTGATTTCTGTGAAGAAAAGAGGCAGTTTCCTGTCTTTGAACCCAAGCATGGAGTGAATGTGGACTGGAGAACTTCACGGCACATTCTGAGAGGAGAGAAGAAGAATGTATGAATAATGGCGCACTAGGAAACTTGAACTATGCTCAACAAAGGCTTGTTTCCTGAGGTGTGCCGATTTCAGTGCCAAGATGATCATTGATGGGACCCCTGCCCCCTCCCTCTGTAGACCTCACTTGGTGAAGGTAGCCTGTTGTAAAACGAGCCTCAGGATATCACGTGTGGGTTAATCCAGCTTTGTCTCCATTGATAACAGCAGTGCCTAAAATGGAGGGAGCTATGTTGTTCTCAGAGTTGAAGTGCTAGAGTAACAGCTGCTCCGGGCTCATAAGTTCTTGATGCTTTAGGAAAACTGTTCACCAATAACCTGACTCTCTTTTGTCTTGGAGTATCTCACACTAGACATAAAGATTGGTTTGGTGGAGAATTCTAGGCTCAGCCACTTTCCTTAAGGACTTTGAAAATACTGCCCTTCCATTTTCTAGCCAGAGTTCCTGTCAAGAAAAATCATCATTTTCTTCCTCCTCTCCTCCTGTTCCTCCTCTCCCTGCTCTTCCTCCTCTTTAACTTTTCCCTGCTGTACATAATCTACATCCTCTGGTTGTGTTTCTATTGTTTAAGATATGAGTTTAAGGCTATTACTAAGGTGTTGCACAGAGCGCTTAATATTTCCTGTCAGTTAAGGAGTCTGTTTCTCTTTTGCCTCTGGTTGCTTTTACAAAGCCGTGTGTACCTTGTCTCCTGTTGGGACTGGTGAGTCCTTGGATTCAACAGCCCTGGTCAGGACCACTACTGCTGTCCAGTACTGGGACCTGCCCAGTACTGGTCTTGTTAGGGTCACTCCTCATCTTTCCGCCTGGGCCCCCAAATGGACATACCCCAGGATCCTCTCAGCCCTGCTTCAGTGCCTTCAGCTCTCCAAGTTTTAACTTTCTACGCACTGCTATAAACCCGAGGTTATTTCTACCTAGTGTTTTTGTTTTCAGCAGTTTGAAATGACTGGAGACATTATAATTTGCATGGCTGCATGAAATTCCGCTTGCCTCTTATTCTTACAGGCCTGTTCTTCTTATAGTCTGCCCCCTTTCCTTGTGGTTTCTAGTCCTTCAATGTGTCTCTTCAACTATTTAAAAATACCATAATTTTACAATTTCACAGAACTCTAACATCTCATTCCTTCATTGGGGTCTTGTGGCAGAGTGTACTTTTGATCCCCAGCCTCGTAGAGAAGGAAGATCACCTTCCTACCACAGTCAGGCCCAGCATGGTCCCAAGAAGACAGACTCCTGCCCATGGACCCCAGCCTTGCGGCTTCTCCTGTCACAGAAGCAGCCGGCTCTGTTGCACAGTCTGGCTGTTGGGCAATTTTCCATCAGAATGTGTTCCACACAGAGCCATCCACTCTGGTGACTCAGGGAGCAGAGCTGAAGCCAGGCTGTGGAAGGGACCACTTCCGTGGGCCCTCTGCGGTTGGGCCTGTTTGTTATCCAGCATAGTCTCATGACAGTGTGCTCTAATTTCTCCTTTTATGGAATCTTCCAGTATTCACTTATGGTTGGTTGTTTTCTTTCTTCTCTCTTCTTTTTTGTCAGTCTTGGGGCTTCAACTTTGGGCTTGAGTACTGTCCCTCAGCTCTTCAGCTCCACAGCTCCACTTCCGGTTTTCTGGTGGTTTATCAGAGAAAAGAGTCTCATGGACTTTCCTGCCAGGGCTGGCTTTGAACTGCCATCCTCAGATCTCAGTCTCCTGGGTAGCTAGGATTACAGGTGTGAGCCACTGGCACCCTGCATGGTTTATAATTTTTATGCAGACTTGATCTTCCTTGGGAATTATTTTTGTCTTTAAATGTGAGTGGCATGGACTTTAGGCAATCGCTGTGTTCCTGCTGTGTGGGGTGGGGTGGCTGTAGTGTGGCTCTTTGCTTCTGCCATGGACTCTGGAGTTTTCGTGAATCTGGGGCCTTTATTCATTTGAGGACTTTTATCTAACACGGATCTTATAAGTTCAGATCCTATATTGCAGAGCCAGGATTTAGGTATTTAATTTTCCTGAGATCCTTTTTGCTACCTTGTTTGTTCCCTCCCTGTGGGAGGTTCTGGTCCCCATTCAGGGTGGGGTGGTTGCTGTACGTGTGTGCCAGGCCTCTGGTTTCTGCTCACCTCAAGGGCAGGTTCTGCTCAGTGCATGCACAAGAACCCCAGACTTACCTAGTTCAGACCAGACCCATGTTAGAGCTGCCCTGGCCTGGTGTTCTGCCTTATTCTTCAGCTCTCTTTCCACCTTGGATGCTTATAACTGAGAAAGTACACGTGTGGTTCTCAGATCTTCTTGGCATGTGTGTTTTCTGGTCTTCTGTGAGGACAAGGACCTCTCTCACTGCCTGTCACCGTCCCTCCATGCTGAAATCTACTGGGTACTCAGGAGAGCTTGGGCATATTTGCTGATGGGCTTAGCAAATGGGATTTCACAAGGTGTGGGGACCCACAGAGGATGCCTGGGGCTTCTGTCCTCCTGCCTGACCCTGCTTCTTCTCCTTTTGGCTCAGGCAAGCTCTTACAGGACTGGTTTGGGCAGGGAAAGGAGAGAAATAGAAAAATACTTCAGAGGTGAAGGGGAGCTCTCTCCACTGTGACAGCTTTGTTCAGGGGCATATTTGAGGGTCAGCTGTATGATTTTCATCTCTTGCTCCCATAGCAGCAGAGGGCAAAGCTGTATCCCCATTCCTGGAGGGTCACAGTGCTTAGTTTGGAAAGCATGCTGATGGAGGGGTGAGCAGGAAGATAAGAGGCAGGAAGGGAGAGAGGGCTTCCTGGGGGAGAGGACTCTGTGTGTCTCCCAAAGGGACTGAGGTAGAGGGAGAGAAGCCATGTTCCTGGAAGGGGTGCCACTGTGCTTGGCCTGGGGAAACATTCTGGGTGGGGTGTGTGTCTATTTTAGACCCTGAGTATTTCTTCCTGCAGATGCAAATCCTTCTGTCTCTGTAAACATGCAGATTCTTCTTTTCTTTTCTTTTTTTTTTCAGCCACATGGTCTCTAAGCATGTGGAAAGAACAAGCTAAGTGGCTTTCCAGTCCAGGTTGTAGAGAGCCACAACCTTTGCTCTTAGGAGACAGATGCCTTCCAGAGACCCGTAGAGCCTTCTAGAACTTTCCAGAACTTTCTTTTTCTCTTCAGGTTCTGAGAAATTGAAGCTATCTGTGAACACCCACAGTCTCCTGCTCAATGTGGCCCTTTAGGACTCACTTTCCCTGTGTGGCGAAGCTGGCAGGCTTTCCCTTCCATGGAGGAGGGTGTTAGAATTACCTGTGAAGACACAGCCTAGGCCAACCACTGCTAGGCCATCACTAGTCTTTTTCCCCTTTTCCTTCTCACTTAATGATACATAATTTGCTTTTCTAACTCATCCTCATCCGTGTGTGAGACAGTGGGCACAGGACAACGGCCCCTCCCGGCATCCATCCGGGACTCTTGGACAGGGTCGAGACCCCTGGCTTGGGGAGGGGACACCCACAGGCTTTGCTTCCGACGTCCCTGGGCTCCTCCCCTGGGTCTGCCTCCACGCTGCAGGCTGGGGTGGCAGTCGGGGGAGCATGAGGTAATCGACTGCACACACAATTTATTAACTCTGACTTGTAAATTAAAACACCCAGTGGTACAAATTAGCAATGAGCGAAGAGAAAATGAGAATCTGCATTTCCTCTCCCAAGCCTCGAGTCAGAACTCCAATGACTCTAAAATAAAAATTGGGAAAACAAAATTCCATTACTATGCAGATGGGTTTCCTGGTCTGGTCTCCTCCCTTAGCTGGGTTCTGAATCCAACAGGAGAAGGCTTGGCTGTGTGGTGGGATTGCTCTGACAGTGCTGGGCACCCCGGATGGGAGCATGGTGATGCCAGGAGCATCCAGTCCCCAGGAGGGCCTGCCCCGAGTGGCTGCATCCCTGGCAGAGCTCCGCCCTGGGAGGCCCAGCCCTGGGCACGCCTCAACCCTCCCGCTCCCCACACATTCCAGGCCTCCACTCAGACCCTGGGGCCCAGCGTGAACTTCGTGCAACGTGATCTTCCACCTGCTACCGCCCGTGCGGGCAGGCCATTGTCTGGACAGCGGCAGGACCTGGTCCAGGCATGTTTGGGCCTGGAGCCCCGCAGTGGTCTTGTGCAGCCAGCCGCTGGCTCAGCTGTGGGGTGGAGAGGCCTGGAGGCCAGGACTCCATTAGCAGGAAATACTCAGAGAGTGGCGATTGTGTCTTTCTCAGCCTCTCCTGGGGTCCCCTTGCCTGGCGTCCTTGATGAGGTTAAATCACACCAATCACTTCAGGCCATGCTGGCCCCCAGGGGGGCTCATGGCAGAGGAGGCAATCACACACAGACCCGCCGCTCTGGGCGCTTCCGTGCGGCTGGCAGCTTGGTGGCGGGGTGTGTGCTCAGACACCTGGGCAT